GAATTCTGGGAGTTGAAGTCCACACATCTTAAAGTGGCCAAGGTTGAGAAACACTGGTCCAGTACGAGTGGGGAAGCTAATGAAGAAAGTAAAGAAAGGATGGGAAGCGCGTCAGGGAAGACCGGGCAGGAACCAAAATCAGGTCGAGATGGATCCGTGGGTCCACAAAGGGCTGCGCTCTAGCTAGCGGGCTGGCACGTTCATGAGACGAGGAGACAGCGCACACAAGTGCATGGGTCGCGCCCCGCTTCCCTCCTTCTCACCCACCCATTTCTTCTTGTAATGACGATGCCGACAAGGCGCCGAGGCGAAAAATGAAGGCGAGGCTTTCCGCAGATACTGTAGGAATAACCGCTTCCCGTTGCCCTGGTGCGCAGCCGCCATACTTGACTGCGGTATCAAGGGCCCCGCGTACGGTGGCCAGCCCACTAACTCCTCCTCTTCGAAGAGCAACACCGTTTAAAGCTCCCCTGGCTGAAGTCGACGGACAAAATCGTTCCGTCTCATGTAGGAATAGCTACATACAGTAACCGCAAACTGAGCAGCTTCATTGGGAAATTTCAAGTGTCGAGTATGTTATTGGCAGTATTGCAACAGTGGGGAAGCCCAGAAAATTACACGTCCGCCTTCCATGTAGCTTTGTTGGGGCAAACGACTACATTTTACTCTGGTCAGTGAATGGCTGCTTTCAACTACTGCACCTCGGGCTAGGTAAAAGCCAAGAACGCGCTTTTCCACAGCCCTCTCCCAAATGTCAGGCTATTAGCAATTGTGTATTAAAAATTATTCAGTTGACAAATTAGCTTCAACACAGAAATGGAAAATTGGTGATAGGATCTATATTTAACTGGAAATTACAAAGCATAATTTCAATTTTACTAATTTTAATTTACTTTAAATTTAATAAATTAAACAATTTAAACTTCAGTAGATTAAATTTAACATGTTCTGATTTCTCTGCCCCTTTCATCCAACCATCTCGATTTTTGACCACAGCTTTTGCAAACTGTTGCAATTTCTGCACGTTGACAAGAGTGCTATATAGCAGAGACCAATCAAATAAAAACAGGAGATGTCTATATGCAGGTGGGTAAATGGACTTTTTTTTCTCGTTAGGATTTCCCTCCATTTGGGCCCAGCTGTGAAGGTTGTGTGTTGCCCTATTTGACAATATGCTTTCCCCCACTTCTGAGCATCAGAAGCAGAGGAGTACAATCACAGATAGTAGAAGGATGCTCTACTTAGCAAATATTTCCCTGCCCAAGTTTGGCAAGGGACACCCTTTATTCTTTGGGACATATTTCAAAGACCAAAATGATAATGATTGTAGAAACTTTCCCCCCTCTTTTAATGTAAACTTCTAAGGCTTTTTGTCCTCAGTTATGCATATTACTTGCTTTTATTTTGTTTACATTTTCTGGATTTTTAAAATCTAAAAAACTCAGGAAATTAAAATATATACAGAGTTAAATTTTCAATGACTTAAAATTTGAATATGCCATAATTTTTCTGAACACTGTTTTAAGCTAGGATATGTAGTTATCACAACAAATGTTTTATATTTTATGGTAAATGTTTAATGTGGAAATGTACAGATACTGTTAACATTGCAAATCTTCCACAGAATACAGAAGTACTGTGATGCGGTAACCAAACAAAAACACAGGGTCAGTCTTTCACAGAAGCAGGTCTATGAAGTTTTCATCATATATGAAGGAGTAGACATGGTTGAATAAACATTTATTTCAGCTTGGAGAAGAGTTTCCGAGCTACCTGTAAACCAATAAAAGTTAACAAATGAAAACAAGAATTTAAGCAAAAATACATTAATCTACTTCTTGCATATATTCTTATAGTTTACTTATAGAGGCTTACTTTACTAACAAAATGCTGATCCATAACTTTTCTAAACAGTTAGGGGCAACAAAATTTGAGAATTATATAACTTGATTTGATGTAAATAATTATTTCAAACTTATAGAATACAAATCAAAAGAGCATTTCAAATATTTGTAATTTACTTCATATCTGGATTCAACAGTGGTTCCATATCTGAGGGGAATATGGGCTGAATAAAGTGCTTGTTTCTCAGCACTGGAGAAATAAGATTAATTTTCATAGCCACAAGCCAAGATTCACATTTAGAAATAGAGGTGTGTAAAACATTTCAACCTCAAAATGGATTGTCCCAACCTTATGTGAAGTATTCCAACTATTCTGGCTGTTCTGAGTTCTGTTTTGAATGTGAAACAAGTGTTCCAAGCTCAAAATGGGGACTTTTTCAAGCTCCAAACATTCCACAGTAGTTGAAACAGCATCAGAACATTTCTCATAAGGGTGAAACAACTGCTTCAAACTTGAAAACTTTTTACCACATCCTTACTTAAAAGTCATGCTCAAAACAACTTACACAATGGTCTCTAGCTTCCAGGAATTCAAAGAGCTCCTCTGTACACTCTTCCAGTGTTTGAGTTCTGGAGGATACTCGAGTATTACATTGCTCTAAACGCTCCAGAGCTTTTGCACATTCTTCTATCTTTGCACACTCTTCCCTGACAATTGTTAAAGGATCCTGGAAAAAAAGCATCACATAAATAAATAGTTAATACTTTACCAAGGACATTACCAAGACAGACAGTCAATCTTACCCTTAAAACTGGAATACAAAAGTCTATAATTATCCAGACAGTTAATAATCATAAGAAACTTCAAAACCCTGAGTTATAAATAGTAGCCATTTGGGGGAATATCACTCTATCCCCATATTGTTAACAGACTGTAACATCAAGGATATTTTGAAGTTTGTTTGGTTTATTTTAAGGTAGAATTTTGGTCCTTTCCCCACCAGCAGCTAGCCATGTCTGGCAACTTCTTTTCTGCCCAGTACCCAAGATATTGCCTGTATCTTGCTCCAACCCATACTTAAAACAGTTTAAAGTCAACCTTAGTAGTTCCAGTGTTAAAGTGGTGCTTTCTTCCCTAAGCAGTCAATAAGCCAATTTTATTGTCACTGATCATTTTGTCACTGGTATTGTGAGATGAGTCCTAGAGAGTGGAATCAGATTAAAATTTATTGGGCACTTTAGCTGGTGCTGGACCACCCCATCCCCTCTGGTCCCTGGGCACTGTCCTTGAGGGCCATTCTGCTCTGATGCAACAGGAGAGTATGGTTCTTTTGAAACATGCTCTCCCCATATATCTACTGAGAGTCTGAGCTGTTCCCTGGTTTAGAGCACCAGATCAGCAGCTGGGGGGTGGGCTGCATGGTAAAGCAGAACATACTAAGCCAGCTTCATGACACAGTCTCCCTACTGCACCTGTCAGCTGTGTTCGGGCTGGTTTTGAATACAGGTTTAGTGCACTTCTTTTCTATGGACTGTCAGCTATGCTATCATAGCCACCTCTCCTAGCCCTGACATGTATCTCAGGCTAAAAGAAATGATAGGTGAAAAGGAACACAAATTCTGACAAATGGCTAAACCCACAAGTCTAGCCATCTATTAAAACCACTGCCAATTACAGCTATGTTGTGACTAATAGATGACTTCCTGCTGACTGGCATTGTTGAGATGGTTGCACAGGAAATGAGGAGACTATTCTCCAACTACAAACCAGAGCAAAGGCAACTGACATTGGTAATAGGGAACAGCAAAATCTATATTAGTTTGGTGTTCTGCTGGCTCACAAACAGAAGGAGAACACTTTAACTGAGCCAGGAGAAAGAGTTTTAAGCCTTGGAAGCAAAACCATATTTAGTTTGTCCACCTTTGCTGTTGCTAAAGGAATCCTAACATTCAAAAGTAATCACACGTTAAAACAAGGTTGGGATGTTCTAAATACAATAGTTCAGAGTATTTTATTAAACAAAAATCAGGTACAAAGATGAAGTACTAAGACATTCATTACACGAACACTAAATAGACATGTCATTTAGCAGAACTGATCTATCCAATTTCTATCAAATTATCACTTTGTTCCTGAAATATTGGTTCCAGTAAAAAAGAACATGTGCTGTTGAGCAAACAAGTGGAGTATGTCAGGCAGAAACAGCTTATATTATTGTTTCATTAAAGCAACATACAAAGACTGCCACAGGATTCTGCTAATATTCAAAATTAGATAAATCACTACAGTAATAAGTACCACAAAAGTACTTGTGATCGCAAGAAAAATTTATATACTTATATTTCAAATTTAGATACTGCCTATCTCACAAAAAAGTGACTTTTTCGTGAGTGAAAAAAAATTTTTTTTCAACAAAAATAATTTGTTGAAGCCAATCTAGTTGTGAGTCCATTAGTAATCATTCCCACTTTTCTACCATTTAATTTTCATAATCCAGACAGGATATTTTATGTAATAGTATTCTTTGTAAAAATTGTTGATTGAAATGTTATGAATTATTTCTCTTGTCCAATTATCCATAAAGTTACATACCACAAGTTCCTCTTCCTCCTCCTCCTCCTGGATAGGGAAAAAATCATAATAGATTCATTAATGTTCTCATATCTACATTATGTGAAGTATATTAAATTATAAAAAATCCAAGAGCAATTTCAATTACTTGGATTTTTGTTATGTAGTATAACCTCTTTCATATGGCACCCTTTCAATGTTTATTATTTTATTTTGTAGACTAATAAAAAATAGAAATGCACACAGCATAAGGAATCAAGACAAACACAAAAATAAAAAATCCAAGAAAAAAGAAAATGGGGAGGGAAGACCTGGAAACTATGTTATAAACAGAACTCCAAAAACTTTCACTGTATTGCTCAAAAGTCGTCTTTGTCCTTTTGTCAAAAATATGACAAAGAACAAATATCAACAATTCACTGCTAAAAAAATAGTTCTGGAATAATCCTTCCAATGTTTTATAATAATTCTTTTACCAGTCCCCATAACTGAAAAATCCACATGCCATTATTAATATTTAATGTAAAAACATTTTATTCTTTTTTTCAAAAATATTTAAGCTGATTGGTATAAAATGTACCTAGCAGTCCTGATTGTGAGCAAAAAGCTTTCACATTGGTGTTGAGTAAGAAAACCCATTGTTTCTTTCTATCACTTAAGTATTTTGCTGCAAAAATATATTTGGCAACAGAATTACTGGACAATGAAGTCTTTAGTTCTGGAGGAATGTTGCTAATTTATTTATGCATACATGGCCCTTTTATGCTGAGGAGCATGCTTAACATTTAAGACAAAGACAATGGTCACAGGAGATGAAATAATAATTTAAACAGGCTGTTTTCCTGGATTTTGTGGTGGTGTTCTTTGCTTCTTAATGTTTCATATAGAGTCCACACTAGTTTTTATGCAGTGCCAGAAAAGCAAACTCCCAATTACAGGCAGAGGGGGCTCCAGGACTCCCCCACCACCACCACAAAAGCAAGTTCTTGAAAGTACATCTGAATA